CGTTTTATGCTGCACGTGCAGGTATCAGGTGTAAGAACAAGTTCGGATCACCGTCGACGACGGTCGCGCGATTTCCGACCGTTTGCATTCTGCGATTTTTCTCGGTGATAGTATTTGGCACGCGCGCGCAGAATATAAAGATCTCGATGCAACGATAGGACGTAGAGAAATTGCGAAATCACACTGACATTGTAGTCTCCGATGCTGTAAGAATAGACTGGATTCTCTCAAATGCGTTAGTATGTACATTATTATCTCAAGATTTCTCGCGCAGTCCTTTAAATTTTATCGCTAGATAAAAGAATAGATACGTGAAAATTAAATAAAATTAAATTAAATTAAATTAAATTAAATTAATCCATTCAGACTCTATGTGCACAATTATGCACAAAAACTTTAAAATCATTTGAAATAGTTATTTTTTAGAATTCCCTGCGGTCTCTCGGTGAAAAAAAATATATATCTCGAAAAAAAAAATATATATATATATATCTCGTCGTTTTAAACCCTTAGCATCAATAAAAATTAATTCAATAATTTTTTACATTACAGAAAAAATTCAGATCTGAATGGGTTAAGCATCTCTCGTATGTTATTGAAGCCTCGAGAAGCCTTATCTATGGCTCATTTAGTAGCCACGTGGTACAAATACTTTGCGTTTGTGCGACACGTACGTACACTATCGAGTTTGCAAATGACAGTTGCCAACGTGAATCGGCTGTGCAAACAACGCATGAGATTTGAACGACGCAACGATGTCGAGCAAAATCAACTCGCACATTCGAGATGTCAGATAGGAATATATTACGTGACGATCCGCGTTGACGTTTCGCGTGCCAATAGCTTTCACTGTATCGCTACTTAGTGTGATTGTCAGAACGATGGTCAAACAAAACGATGCTGTTATTAATAATTGCGCCATAATAATCCACACGATCAAGTAACATCAGCTGATTTTATATACAAATTTTTTTTCAATGAAATAATCTCTTTTTTTATCATAAAAATGGAATAATGATTTTTCTATATTTTGTTAATTTAGCGTAGAATAATAAAAAGTGAAATGTTTTGAAAAAGAGCAGCATGTGCGTGCGTAAGCATATTTTCATTGCGCTGTAAAACGTTAGAAAAGTACACTTGTTCATATAATTTTTCACACGTATAACACGCGTGATCTAAATTATATGAAATTACATTCTCCGAGCAATCTGCAGGTCAGCGAATTTTAGCTGTCACGGTAAAACTCGTTACTCTCGTAAACCCTTCATTGGTTTACGCGAACGAGTAGCGATAATATAGTGAGCGTAAAAAGTTTTTCACAGCTGAGACACTTAGTCAGATTATAACTCATCCTCAAGCACCTCGCACACGGGGGTCCATTATTTTTTTTCAACCGTCCTAATGCCTCGTCAAGGCAACCCGACCTGGCCTACCCCTGGTCTGACCTGACGCGACGTGACATTTCACCACTGCTGCCCCGGGCACAGCTTGGATTGTCGTCGCGACGCTTTTACTCTCTTTATTCTCTTACGCGACAGTTTACTCGCTTTCCCAAAACAGCCAACCGTCGCGCATCTCTCTTACTTGATTGCAGCTATCGAGGTAACTCCTTGCATAATGCATATCGGCCTAACACGAAGAGGGAAGAGAAGGATAGAGAGGGAAAAACAGAAAGAGCGCGAGAGGGAGAGAGAGAGAGAGAGAGAATCAGAGAAGCAGCTAGTATATAAAGGCGTGTCACGTTATACAAGAGTGCAATTTAAATTTTTGGACCGACTCACGCCGCAACGAGAACTTTTTCAATGTATGTACACTTTTAAATGCACTCGGGTCCTGTTGTCTGCCCCGCATAATGCAAAGTGGTCCCGTATCATCATCCCCGCATCGTTTTACTACCGTCGACTATCTGCCGGCTCGTGAAATCGCACGAAATATGCACGACGGAATCGCCGTAGCTTCGGGGTCAGCATTTAGCGCGTGACATTTTTTTCCTTTTCCCACCAGGAGAATGACTGACCGTTAAATTTACGATATTTTCCCTTCTGTCGGATTTTGCTGCTGCTTTTTTTCCGCAGGCGAGTTCGGTGCGGAAGGTTTTGCGGAACCGATTCGCGCATTAGACTTTCATATCCGCCACGTGCAAGTACATCCTGCTTCTCTTCTCACATTTCCCGTCGTGAATAGAGACGATTGGCTGGAAAAACGATCTATAAATGCCGAATTACGATGGTGCAATAAGTTTTTAAATACGTACGAACGACCCACGATATTCGCGACGAAACACGTATCACGGTACATTGGAAATTTGCGGAACGAGATGAGAATGTAAGCCAGTTTGCCTCAAATTACACAGTCCGATGTATTTATCTCGAGGATCTTCGAGTTGGCTAAAAATGTTACGCGTCACAAACAAAGACAACCTCTGTTAAGCTAGCAGAAGGGATGAATATTTTAAGTTTTTTTTATGATATCAAATTAGTACAAATTCAGTCCGTTATATTTTTGTACTTGATTCTCTTTTTTTGTTTTTTTTTTATTGTGGTCCTGTTGACTAAAATCAATTGGGGGTTATTTGAAGCAGAAGGGATGAATATTTTAAGTTTTTTTTATGATACAAATTAGTACAAATTCAATCCATTATATTTTTGTACTTGATTTTCTTTTTTTGTTTTTTTTTTATTGTGGTCCTGCTGACTTAATATTAAGGTGGCAGTGTCATGATTTTTTCCGAAATTGCACAGGGTACAAAATTATTATTAGTGGTACAAATTAGTACAAAATAGGTACTAAATAATGTGATAGGTTTGGTGCTAATTTGGTCCTGCTAACTTAACAGAGGTACAAAGACAATATCTTCACGAATCAATGTGTACAAAAACACATGGATGGAATTGATAAAATCGCGAAGAGACAGATGAGAGGAGCGCTTTAATCGATTGCCGCAACCTATTGCGTCATAACTGATAATCGAAATATGCGCATGAATATGAGTAACGTTGGATAATTCATAAAATCATAAAATTATTAATTACCATTCGTTTTAATATTAATTATATTTCGCAACTGCAAACACGAGAAAGAAGGATATAGAACCAACCGCAAATTAAATAAATAAATTGGCATTCTACTTAATTAACATTCATCGAAATCATTGAAATTCTAGAAAATTATACTCGACGATAAATATCTCGATAGCTATCGCTACTAGCAGACAAATAAAAGACATTAAAACGATCAATCAATCTATTATAATAGTAGTAAAACAATATATTGTTTCCATAAACCACACACATCTATTATTTATTACCTTTATCGAATTTTAAATATTTCAAGTTTCAATTTAACTCTTATTATAAACAAGAAAATAATATAAATAAATTAATGATAATTCGCGATGTATATTTAATTATACAAAAATATTTTATTATCTCCGCGCAAAACTATTTTAAATTATTAAACGGAAGAAAATCTATATTTAATATCAACGGGGGAAATTTAGTTTATTGAAACAAAAATTTGTAAATATAATCTTTTCCGCAACATAACTATGTAATATTGTACAAAAAATACATGCGAATATTTTGAAAATGAAGAATAATTTCTTGGAAATATCCACTTTTCAACGCGAATTTAACATCCGAAAATACAGTTCCCCGTAAATAAGTACCTGGTTACGGCCGCGCTATAAATAGATCTCAACAGCCTTGGTCAATCTTCTTCGGGGTCGTCGGCTTCAACCGGCACCCTTGCGCGCCGATAATGTTTCCTCTCAACTATACTAAAATTCCCCGTGAAAAAGAAATTCTGAACGGGACTTTCGATGAGAATCTCGTGAGAATTATACAGTTGTTAGACAAATACACGCTTCCCTAGAATAAACTTCGCTGATGTAATATTAACACTTATATTATCAGAAGTTTCGCACAGAGAACTCGTGTGCATTTTGTTTCACGATTTTAGGACGAGGAAAAATAAGAAGAATTGATGCGAAAAAGTTTAACTCGATGCTATTTCCAGAATTCTTTTTTTATTTCGAAATCAATTAATACCTTGCTAGGATAAAAATCTACCGAAAAATAAATGAGAATTAAACGAGACGTAAACCTCTATTTTATTTACATATGTACTCCTAAAGTTTGATGTGATAATATGTTTTTAATCGTAATTTGCGCATAATTAAAAAACAATTTAATGCTATAATAATTAAAATATTATCTTTTTTTACTTTTACTTTCATTCTTTTCACGCAAATAAAATACTCACAAAAAGTTTTTGAAACAAATTTCTCACAGTACTGACAAACGAAAGGAATTAAATCAGATTCTGCATAAAAGGAATCAACCAACACGATATTTTGTTCGTTGGTTTATGATTCTTTTCTGTGGAACACATGATCGAATTAAAATTTAATAACCTGACAGAAAGTCACCGTGTAGAGGACAATCGAGTGTCAAAGATCGAGTTTTGCCAGTGGACACGGTCGGAAAATTGCCGCGCTTGTTCGTTTTTCCAAGCTATGTCTTCATTGAACCGAAAAAAAAAAACGGATATCTCATTTTTCGTCCTTTTTCGAATCAATCCGTACTCGTGAATCAATCAATAGTAGGATCAGCCTCGCACGAATTTATTCCTATTCGCGACCGGAAAGATATTTCAATATTTTCGAGGAATTATTCGCGTTCGATGATTTTATTAATCATTTTATTTTAACGACTGAACTGCAGACAATCAATCATGTTAAGATAAATCATGCTAAGATAAAATGCCATAATACATTAAAAATCTGGAGGATTTGCACATGTTGCGTTATGAAAATGTCGCTTTAATCCATAAGAATTTCTGAACGACACGCAATGCAACAATAATAATATTTAACTGTCAGTTTTATATTAGCGTGATAGAAATACAGAAAAACAACATGTGTGAAATTAAAGCTTACGAGAACGATTGCATTTTATCTTATCGTGACGAAATAATCATGATAAAATTTCAATACTAACTTGTAAAGAAACGAAGATTCTTTCCTCGTAAATCCCAACGAAATCTCAGGAAAATCACAGGTTTTATCACAGAATGATGGGCAGTGTTCGGTAAGATGTCCAGATAATTTCACTCGACGCACAATCAATCGATGTGCAATCGTTGATATATTAATCCGCGCAAAAATGATAATTCTGTCCTGTTCGCTTCGCTGAAACGATTATCGCGAATGATTGCCGATCGCGTTAAAATATGTATGTTCAATGCGACAAGAAACGATGGGATCGAGGATCAGCGGACCTTCCAATCTGTCGGCGTTTTTTTTTTTAGTTATTATCTTTATCGCGGAACGTGATGGTTTTTTTTTCTTCTTTTTTCACGACGGGATATGAGCAAATCCTCGATGGTTTAGCGTGCGGTAAGCTTCGATCGTCGATACGCGGCACGACGATCGTGCAGATTGCGCCTCAAAAGGTCGCACGAAGCTGTTGCATGTCCCGACGTGCGAGCCGGCAAAAGTCGAGGTGCCACTTGCACGTTCTCGATCTGATAATCGACTCGATTCGGCGCCGCGTCAGCGCCGAAACTGGATCACGTTAGTGTGCGATTGTACTCGGAGAAATCCGGGGACGTACGACGGATTAATAGCGATAATTGCCGACAATCGACATTAAGGTACGGTATATATCGTACTGAGACTCGCTCCGATAAATGACAGACATCAGATCGAAATCATATCTCGAACGAAAACGAGGGCGATAAAAAAAATCTCGCGCCAATTGGTCGTTACGTCACTCCTTTATCCGTATGTAATTTCACACAGTGTGTACGAGAATAACGTCATATGATATTAGGCAACGATCCACGTTTCCACGACGATGTTAGATTAACGATCTTCTCTCGGATCGGCGAATTCCGTTTCTACGGCGGTCAACTCGACTCGATTTCTCCTTTGCGATAATAGATGCTAACGACGAGAAAATTTTCTACGTCAGGGAATCGCGCTGTCGGATTATTCCTTCCGCCAGATGTTTCACCGAAACACGCGCAACAGAGCGTAAGGGTAGGTCTCGCTGCTAATGACAGAATATTCCCCAGAAATTGAACGGAGCGCACTTTGGAACACGTTGCGCGCTCGCGAGGAATGTTGAGAACGTACGGAATGTCGCGGAGCGACTCTCTCCCGTTGGCCGACGCGCTCGACTTTTCCACAAACGATCTTCACCGATCTCACGGAATCTCTCACTCTCGCACTCCACACGCACTGCACTCAATGACAAAAACAACAATAAATCCTAGCACTCTAATAACTATGCAATCGTTGTGCACGATTTCGCATCTCTCTCTTCCGCGATACGATCCGGAAACGACGAATCAAAGAGAGAGACCAAGTAACACGTGCGCGCGCGTCCGCGTCCGCTGGAGCACTGACGCGCGGTACCGAACGCCACGAGTAACTGCGGCGACTTCAGTCGGAGCACTTCGGCGACTCCGTTCGTGAAGCCGAATGGACCCGAGGCGTCACGAAGCACCCGTCCATCCAGCGCTACGACCCGACGCCTCCTCTGACGACACACTCCGATCTCGACCTCGGATCGAGATGGAGCAAGAGGAGTGAGATGGATGAGACCTTGCGGGGCGAGAGATCCTCCGGTAGAAATATATTCTATCACATTACTTGTGATGTGACATTACGCGCAATCCGCTGTGTACCACGGCTGGAATGTTCAGAGTGATCTCTAACGCTTTAAAGCATTCTCTTTAGCGATAATATATATTTCGTTAATAACATATGCTATGTCGCAAGAATTTTCGATTAGATTTAAGAAGTTTAATTATGCATCTCTCTGGCTCTCTCTCGCGTTTGACACGATATTAAAAACGTCAGCTGATTGTAAGAATCTGGAGAAACGAAAGCAAATGCAGTTAGGAATAATCAAGTGGAATGCTTTTTGTATTTTATTAAATTATCATCGAGCAAATTAAATTCCACTAAAAAAGTGCCAATCTATTTTTACCATGATTCTCAGGTAAAACTAAACGTTCTTTTTTCACACGACGAGAAACACTTTCAGTTATTGGAAGAATAATATGATAAAATTTAATAATTAGAGACTTGGCTCAAAAAATCAAAAAGAAAATGGCCAGAAAAGCAATAACCCTTCTTTCTTTTTTCAATATTACTTTATTAAAAACATCATAATAACAAAAAGCGCTTTTTGCTCCAACTACCGCGCATTGGCTCTTATGCCATTTTTCTCTTTGATTTTTTAATATGATAAAAATATTCGCTATGCTATCAAAGGGGCGAATCTTTGATTCGAATCGAGACACTGAAACGGTAATAACGCGCACGATACGGCACTCAAAATTACAGCATTCTGAATGTTCTGTTCCCTGTGTTGCGCAACATCTTCATGCACGATGGTCGTCAATTATCGGTTGCATGAGCTTCGCGTAGAATTAAAGCGGGCATGGCCGGTGCGGTGCGTGATAGAAATCATTTTCACGCCGGGCTAAAGATTTTCGTGCCTCGGGATACGAGCCTCGTCTACAGTTTCGGTAGCGTAACAAAGGGAAACGTATGTACGACGCGTACATCGAATTCGCTACGGGCTTCATCAAAATCTAGTTAACTCCTCGGCCTGCCAAACTTCGATCTAATAACGAAGCGCACGCGAGCCTATCTAATAACTATCACGATTATATCTTCATTAAGGATCGTTCGAGGATCAAAATGTATCGCCGCGTGTTTATTTCCCCTCGTTAATTTCACTATACAAGATGTGGGTTATAAACGTTTGCACGTGTCCTTCATCGATAATGAATCCAAAAGTCGACTGCTTCTTCTTTTCTTTATAAAGCAAACTTCTATCTCTATTATTTCATTATTCAACAGATACAAAATATGGTATTTTTGTCCTCGTCAATAAAATACACATGTTGCATTAAGCGAATGTATATTATCATACACGCGATTATTCCATTTACATTACATCGTATATTTATATTGATGGCAGACTCGCATTAAGATTTTCATTTTATTACATTTATCGAGCTCCCGTAAAAAAAAACTTCTCGTATTTTATACGGTGTAGAAATATATATCTCGAATATTCTTTATGAATCTCGTGTTCGTTCGTGTTTAATCTATCGTCGAAATGTTTCTAGAATTCCCACGTGTACATGTGCACCAGAAAGATTCGAGCAAAATTTTATTACGCGCGTATAAATCCTGTTTCGCGTTGGCATTCGGCATTATTAAAGACTCGCATACTTCTTCTCTTTGCTTTTCGGAGCTTATTTTTTCTGCGACGAAAAAATTTAATTATACACAACTTTCTTTGATCGCGTAAAGCACATGACAGAGGGTAAACAACTGATTAAAATTGTGCGCGTTGATGTAATGCTCACTAGTAATGCTCGAAAAAAAGTGAAAGAACTGTATCTTTGCGTCTTACAAAATATGTCGCTCTCAAAAAATCAATTCTAGCAAACGCCTATTGTTTTAAATAATTCCTATTAGAGTTAAAGCAATGCATAAAATTAAAAGAGAATTCCCAATTTGTACGCCGTAATAATCCCCATGATTTATTCTATGGAATGCTTATAAATTAATCTTTACTACATTTCTATTAATTGAATCAAATGGATCGTTTTTTTATTAATATTTAATATATAATAATTTCGTTTTAACCTACATTTTATCAAATGTAAGAATAAATTCTGTACATTTTGTTGCAACGTAAAATTTAATACGTTGGTATATCGGATAATTATTTCTATATTAATCATTACCGTGTAAATAACATAATGCAAAAATGATAAAAAAATATGTATGAAGAATACATTTTGTTTTCAATACGTATTTTCAAAATAATCTTTCGATATGTTATTAATAATCATTTTTCAATATATATGTGTATCGTAAACGAAATTTATTATATATTAAACAATCGTATCAATTCGCCACATGTAAACTATAAATGATCTAATTAATTATAATTATAATTATAAACTCACTTGTTTTCTTTTTGTCCTTTAATCCATTCTTCCTTGTCGATGATTGATGAGAGAAAGAGGCAGAGATCCATCGCACAAATGACTGAAGCAGTTTGATTGAATCATAATTATGGTCCACATCACTCACGATTTAAAATTCGACAATCGCACGACACTTTATATTTCGACACTCCCGCACATTTATTCAGATATTAATTATAAAATGTACTTTCGACCGAATATTATATTTAGCAATATATTTACAGTACTTGTAGTACTCGCGTAACAATCATATTTTTAATCCACATTTTTTGACGATATTTATCTATCGTCGTATCACATTATTCGTTCACTTGTATTATATATTCGCAGCACTTGTATTAAAAAGTACGATGTTTATTGTCAACCGACATTTTTTTTCGACATTTCCGCGTACAAATGATTGCCATTCGACGACGAACGAATTTATAAATATGCCGGCAGCTCATATTCGTGACACTCGCGAATGGTAATCATACGCGATGATTGCTATGTGAAATATTCACGTGTCGATAATCGAGAATGTTTGAGGAGGAAACACTCGACGAAATTATTTCGAGATTCACGTCGACGAAATCGCGACGACCGCTCGATATACTTCACTTGGAACGTCCGAAATTCAACTACTACGACGATGACAACAGCGTGACTTTGAGCGTGACGTCTTTCCCCCACCATTAAATTCCGGAGTCGACGCGAGGCCGTCGCGTATTTGTTTCCCAAGTATATGAAAAGATTATATTGCCTACCCTTCGCGTCAAGTTCATTCCTGGAACAAGTGTTGTAACTACAACGTTCTTTTCTCAAATGAAAGCGTATATTATATATATCGTGTTGAATAAAATATCCATGAATATCGATAAATACATTAGATAGAATATCATATGTTTTTCATATATATATATATATATATATATATATATATATATATATATAATAATTAGTTATCAATCGACGATTAGTTATCAATCACATGACTAATGGCGCCAATGAATATTAAATAAATAAAATAAAATTACTAGCAGTTTTTTCCGCAATAATCCAGAAAAATAAGAATTCTTTTCGCATCGAAATTAAATACACGAAAATGTATACAAAAATAAATATATAATAATTGGAAATGTAATATTAAATCGCACATCGTAGAAATTGCACGCACAATAGTTATCTAAAACTAACCGTCAACTCAACCGTGATCCAATATTAATCATTTTCGCGATTTCTCCGAGCGAGCAAATCATCTTTAACGAAATCTTCGCTAACCGTGATTCATGAATCGCGATTAAATATCGATCGCTGTCATTTACCGTATAATCACGATGTGATCGTCCAATACTTTTCACTGCGCTCTCGAAATTCGTCTATGCGTCATGGCGGCCATTCGGCGACTAACGAAACTAACCTAACTTAACCTAAGCGCGCGATTGTGTTAAAGAGGAGCACTCGTTAAAGAGTCGCAAAGTCCCGACAACGCTATTAATCGCGATTCGCACACTTTTATTATTAGATTAGATAAAGATTACTATTATTCGTGAGAGATTAAATAGCACAATCACGATCGCGCGATAATTTTCTCGAGATTCCTGAAAATTGAATTACTCGCTATCGTTGATACACTCGGATGTCAAGCGTCGCACTTCATGGGATTCGCATGATAATCGTCAGTGTATTCGAAGTCTCGACGTTTCATCGCATACGCGCGATCGCGGGCTTATCGTCCAATCAAATATTATTACTGTTCAATCCAAAATTATCGCAATCATAATCGAGATAAGTGCTTCGAATATTCCACTTTAATAATCGAATTTCGTTCCCGTTTCTCGTGGCGTATCTTCGCGACGGTTAATATTATATGATTAGAAAATGACGGAAAAAAAACGGCTAATATTACATTTGTCGTACAAATTTTTTAAGCACATTGATTGGCTGCGGGATAATAATTTTTTGAATCTTTAGAAATTTTTTATCCCGCAGCCAATGAATGTGCTTAAAAAATTTGTCGTACGACAAATGTAATATTAACACGTCACTCACTAGGAATGTGAATCGCTCACAAGTCTGCTAACTATTCACTAAATTTCTCGTCAATATAAATGCCACTTTTATGTTCATCAATCGCGGTTCTAATAAATTCTACTAAAATCCTTCGTTGATTGAAAGACAATCGTTGATAGTACGATAGTAAAACAGCACGTGTTTAGTAAATTGATTTACCTGATTGAAAAACTGATTTAGATTTGCAGCATAAGTGGTATTTATTCATTCGTTCCTCTATCAATTCCAGGAGTCAATTAGCGAATCTCTCTTTTTTTTCCCTTGGAATACATTTTTCGAATATCTATTTCGACGGTAAAAATTTATATTGCGTATCTTCGCGTCGTTAAATATATCGAACGTCGAATGT